TAATACTAAGAAAAACTATGTCGGGGAACTTTTTATTGACTATTTTGAGACCCTGAGCTACGGACTATACATAGAGTATTTTTCATTTACGGAGTGACCGTAGAAAAAAATAGTTGCTTGTATCAGTATATATTTGTTACAAATATCATCTTGGAGTTAACTTGTGTTTAAAAGATCCTATCAGTTGGATATTAAATATAAATTTATACAAAAATCCTTTGAAATTTAACAAAATAAACTAACATTTCATTTAAGTTCTTATACGAGTAAAATGTGAATTGTCAGAACAAAATAATACATGTCAGAACTACATGGCATTGGTGTTTTGATAACAAAATATTGTCTGAAACCATCTAGAGACCAAGAAAGAACTTTAATTTAACATCTAAGATGGATGAATTTCATGAGAGCACTGGGACTTGTAAAGGACTACACCATTTAACAGTTCATTGAGGACAATCATCTTAAAGAAAATATAACGGTATATCATAAAATTAATTCTTTGGTAATTTTTATTATTATTTTGGTTTTCTACAACAGTTCACAGCATTTTGATTATTCTTAATTTCATGCTTAAAGATAAATTGTTTAATGTACTGTGTACTCCAATGATCAATGCCAAATGAAATTCCAATTCAACAAATAATTAAAGCATAATTGATGTTTAAACTATAATGAAAATAAGCAACATAGCAGTTATTAACTCAAGGCTTATTTTATTTTTTTGGGAGGGAGGGGGTTATGTTCAATATTGCTTCATACTTTATTCGATTTAATTTTAATGTTATACATATAGCTCAAATTGGTCATTCAAAAGGTGTATCAGTAGAGATGCATTATCATAATCATTTTATTTAAAAGATACAAAACAAGATTGACCATTTTAAGTAAAAAAAACAAAACATATTACAATATTTACCAATAAAGATTAGAGTCAGTTCCTTTTCATTCTAAATAAAAAATTCAATGACAAGTAGATTGGGTGGTGCAATTAATAAGAGTGAAGGTCTCACTTTGTTCTAAATCGCAAAGTAAGGAGTTGATCCTTATGTTTTGGGATCAAACCCTAATAATAATAATGATTAATAAATAATAATGATTGGGATGTGATGTGAGGACTGGTAAGTGTAAACTAAGTAATTGAAACACTTTTGCAGTGATGCAGCAGGAAAAAAATCTCTTGAAAGAAGTATTAATGGTTACATGGCCTGTAGAATTGCCAAATTTATTTGAAGAGTCTGTAGCTCTTCTGTAAGTAGGATTTGTGTGGTCAAATATTATTTTAAAAAAGTTCCAATGCTAATTATTCTAAATAGATTGATAGTGTGTTGCCTAAGAAGGAAAACTTTATCATATATATTTAGGAAAGTGTTGTGACCACAAACAGAACTGGGCAGACTATAGAAGCAAGCCTTTAGTTGAAAAATGTTATTATTCAGACACTATGTTTTTAATTAAAGTCGATTATGTATTAAAAACATTGTATTTGTTCAAATAAGCATATATTTAAATTGCAGTTATTGTATCAATAATGTATCTGGCTTTTTCTGAGAGTTGTAATATAGGGGCTACGGACTATCAGGGCTACGGACAACAATCATTCTTCTGTAACTTCTTTTGATGTTGTCATAAAAAACTATTCATTACTGTTTTTATTCTTTACTGGTAACAGTGAAAATATTAAGCAAGAGCATTATTAATTATACATTCTTATGTTGAACATAAGCTATCATGAAATATGGGGCTACGGACTATACAAAATATTAGATCAGTTTGGACAAGAAATTTCAAAACGTGCACGCAATTTACCATATGACCATTATATTTTTCTTAAAGTACTTTTTTTCGTAAGTAAAATAAAAGTTTTTAAAAACACTATATTTTCTCTTTTTCTGCTAAAAATTATGAATTTATTCAGACATTGATAAATCTTAATTTATATAACAAAGGTATATCTGCACACATTTATTCATAATTTCCACAATTTTTATCCTTTTTCTTTTCTGTAAAAAATAAACTTAACTAGAATGGTTTCTCTATAATAAACTTTATCTATTTTGGAATTTTTGATTCAAAATAATTTTGATTAACCATTTTTTAAAATGTAAAAAATCAAGTGCAACAGCATAACACTCCAAAAATCATGAATTTGAGACTTTATTCTGTTGTTTTTTTTTTTTTTTTTTTAAAAATGCAGGTACTATATTTATAACTTAATATACCAATGGAAAGCTCTCACTCTACTCTCCGCAATGCAATTTAAGACTTTTTGTTTAATTGTTACTCTAAAGAGTTACATCTACACTAGACAAAATTGCTAACGCACCACTTATAAATTTTTATTTGTGAATTGAACATTTGCCAGATCGGTTCTGTTGAATATGATATGCCATTATTTCAAAAGCAGAGGGATTGACAAATGTCTTGGCATCATAAAAAAAACCCTTGAATGACCTTCTTGTCCAAAAACTAATTTCCAGCTGTGCACTGCGCACCATTTTTGCACAGATCTGAAATTCTTGATCATTAAAGGGGTCTGTGAGATTGCCACAGGAGTAGTACAAGTCCCCCTGTTAAAAATAAAATAACTAACGGTCATTGACTCTAATATCTCCTAGTAATCATCTGATACCTTAGTCCATACCAAATCCACTCCACTTCCGGTTGTCCCAGTTTTGTGGAACAATTTTCAACTTATTGTATCCTGCTAACTTAATGCCGTGGTTTTCTGTAGTTAACATTTTTATGTTTATTCATCTATTTGGAACAAATTTTCGTGAGTGGAATTCATAAGCTTTTTATTGTTTTTAGTTTTTACAGATTTTTCTAAGGGAACCCCCTGCAGACGCCATCCTGTCTGCTTTTGCACGCTTTTTTAGCGTCAAACGCTGCATACGGTGTAGTTTTTTTTCTGAGTTTTCAATTGCTACAATTGGAAAGAACACAAATACAAAGACAAAATTGAATTTTTTTCTTCAAAAATGGAATAGACACGATTTTATCTTATTCTATGAATTGGTCACACTTCAATAAACATTGTAGTTATTTATAGGGTTTGAAATTAATATGCCTTATTTTTTGTTAAAGTAAAATATTTATATATCAAATGCATCATAAACAGGTTTTTAAAAGTAAAATATTAATTCTCTTAGGTGGTGCGTTAGCAATTTTGTCTAGTGTATATAACGTCATTCATGTGGGAATGGGCACCTGATCTTGGCCAAGCCGTGAGCATTTTATATAAGATATCATTACCAATCATATTGCAGGGACTCAAAACTGGTGTCACATGTTGAAAGAAAATTTTCTGAGGAGGGGACAACACAACTACAATGTAATCTATGCGTAAAACAAAAAAAATTAACAATCCAGAATTAAAATCTATAAATCTATTTCGGGGAGGAATGGGGTTCCATGATATTTTCCCACAATTTTCTTCATATACGGGGAAAACCTTTCAGTTACAAGAGGGATTCAGTTTCTTTTTTTGGGGGGGAGGGGGGGGCATTTTCTACTACTTTTTCATTAAAAAAAATTCTTATTGGGGGCTGTCTCCTTAACCATCCTAATCTGCTCCTAATTATTTTCGGATATTACATTTCATATTAATTAAAACATTTTTATTGTTTCTTAACTTTTGGTGATTGAGTATATTCGTGCATACTTAGCATTGCTGAATACCGAAGTTTTTCATGTGAAATTCATTTATAATGTATCCATGGTTACCACCTATTTACATAATTCTTCTAAATAATTTCTTTGAAGCATTTATTGCAAAAGAATGCATTTTGAGTATGTCTGTAAACTAACGTAGTGACTGTATTCGTGTGTGAAAAGGTTCATTGTTCAAAAGTAGGTGTTATTCTCAATTTATACTGTTTCCATGGCAACCAACACACATAGTAACCAAAATTTAATATTTTTCCCCTTCAGTTTATTCAGTTAAGTTTATTTCCCTACTTACATGTTTTTTGAAACCAGTATAGAAATTTCTAATTAACATGGTTTTTTTAACACTTAATCATAGTGAACACAATACATCCCAATAATGACCTCAATTTTTCAATTTTCCCATGTATAAGTTTTTCTAAGCTTTTTGTTATATATTCAGATCATATCATGGATTGATTAAAACTAAGTTTTGAAACTGTTGCAATTAGTTCATATTTTGATGGAAAATTTGATAATTTGACTAGACTATTATTGCAAAGTCGTCTCTGGACTAGTGCTACGGTCAATGGGCCAATTTCGAACCCTGCGTGGTGAGAGTTTGTCCCAAGACACAGTTTAATTATTCTAACTAGCACCTATATAAGATAAATCATACCTACTAATCAACATCACTACAATATGAGGACCTTAAAATAGGATAAAACATTCTCCAGCAGTTAGCCATTTTATTCTTTTTGATGTCGTGTGTTAAAATATACCTTCAAACAAATCAAATTAATGTTCTTGATTTCCACTTTTCAAGTTATGACTGACTTAGTGCTTCGTGATACCAAATTATTACATTTTTACGAGTTGATGGACATCAACTCAGTTATGTTCTTACAAATGTTGACCTAATTTTAACCAAATAACACACCTCGTTTATTCAGTTCCTTCTACGATAAATTGTATCACATCTTGAAAAACTCTACATAAATAAAAGCGAACATATATATTGAAGACATGTCAATGTTTCTTTTTTGAAAGGAAATTTATTTTAAGTATAAACAATAACATTTTCATTGACATGCCTTATTGTGTCGGTCCGACAAAAAAGATAGTGCATTTTAAACCGCCGAAGAATGAAAGTGTATTTCGTCACTTCTCATATTCCTATATGTGTATATATGCCTTGTCGATTTTTAAAATTTTTCAAACTAATTGCATAAAATATTGGTTAATTTTTCTGTGCCAAGTTCTTTGGGGTTTATACAAATGACATATTAGGCCTAACATAGAGATGGAACTACTTTTTCATATTCATACGCACAATGCTACTTTGTTTTGTAAACAAAAACACGCAAAATCGGCAGCACAACAATGACTTCAAAAGAAATTGACGGGACTGTGGAGGCTTACCAGGAAATTTTTAGAAGGTACGTAAATGTAAATACATGTACATTTAAGTATAGTTGCACGTGTTGCTCTGAAATAAAAACTTAGCCAGTAGTTTATCGATAGGACTTCGAATGCGGTATGGTACTGACCGAGTAAACATTAGCGCCACCTTGTTTTCGCGGCTTCAGGGGCCTGATTCTATATGATTTTTTTCTTTTTGTTTTGTCTGCATAAGTAGCTTCCATTGTGGTAATGAGCCAACTGCCTCACTAGAAATATTATTTCAAGTCTTTGAAAACACACAAAACAGCAGTCGTGCGACAGGACATGCCATAGAATTTTCGACTAGATTTCCACTTTCTTGAGAGAATCGGCCATGTTTTAGTGAAAATCGAATGAATATTTTTCTGCATGCAATGAAACTAAACGAAATTATTCAATTAGAGATAATATTTCTACTTGTTGTATTACACGAAAAATACGATGAGAACGAAGCATCTGTTGGAGCGACGCCATTTTTATTTTAGCCATTAGCGGATCAAAATCCACCACAAGCACCTGTTCATAATAAATCTGGAATAAGTTATTTTAATTGATTTATGTTTACTCATATCGCTTCAGAAAGATATAGACAATTTTTTTAATGTAACTTAACAGGGTGAAACTGTCTTATTTATTAATTTTCATTATAAAATAAAAATATATATATATATTCATAAATGGGAATATGTGAAAATAAAAACACATGTTCTGGATGAGTACAACGGCATCCTGTGTCATAATACTGTTGAATTAACAATTTGAGATGTAAAAAAAAAAATAAAGATCAGATCGAGATTTTGATGATCTTAAAGATGATTATGTTGATGATGTCAAGGGCGCAAAAAAAGAACAAGACAAAATTTTCTTGAAAATATCAGGTTCAAAGAAAAATTGTCAAAGCAAGTCTCAGCTATTTCTTGCATTGCAGCAGATATGCATCAAGCATCAAACAATTTCTCAGAAGATAGTAAAGGTAGACAGTGTACGTGTTGCTAATGCACTTGTAAGCATTTTGTATAAAGAAGTGGTTCGAATTCCTACAGAGGATTGGAATTCAAGTGATCTTAATTTATTGCTTTGGAAAGATGATGATTTACATTTAAGATGTTATAATAAATAAAATACCTTTCAAATCTTCCATTTTACTTCTTATTTTATATGTTGTTTTAATTAGAATTTAAAATTTGTTATTTTTCTAGAAGTATAAACCACAAGGGCCAGAGCATAAAGGTTCCTGGAAGGATTTGTTTACGAAACCTTTTTCACTGCTTCTGGAGGTTTGTTGGTTAATTTCTCATTCCGGTCAAATTTAACTCCATCACTACCATGTTGGGGGTTCCCTAATGCCAGATGACATCTCCAGGACAGCAAAGAGGTACTTTTAAAATGTCATAATAAATAAAATACCCTTCAGATCTTCAATTTTACTTGTTATTTATATGTCGTTTTAATGATAATGTAAAATATTTTATTTTTCTAGAGGTATACACCACAAAGGCAGAGCATAAAGGATGGCTGGGAGATTTGATAAACTTACTGTTGTAGGAGAACAATTTCAAGCATTGATATATATTAGAAAATTGTGCTGTCAGTCTTTTGTATGTTGGAGGACAAGCTTCTCCTTGAAAACTGGAACAAATGTGAAATAAAGAATGTGTATCTTCATATTGAGACTTTTCCTTGTAAAATTACCTCTGGGAAAAAGTTTATTTCATATCAATTTATTGTGTTCATTATCTGGTTTAATTTCATATTTGTAATTGTTTTAAAATTGCATGGCGAAACATATTTTTGCTCACCTTAGTCAAAAGCTTAAGTGAGTTTTTTTGATCTGATTTCTTTGTTGTCTGTTGTGTTGTAAACTTGTTACAACTTAATTTTTGTTCAAATGATGCCCCTTTCCCCCTGGGAGCTTGAGACCATTTATAAAGTTAAACTTTTCAAAATGGAACTGATATCTTCTTTTTTTCAAGCCGAGATACTCAGGTGAGTAATGTGGCAGACGGGCCTCTTATTATATTAGATATGTACATTGATTCACAAGTATGTACTTTGTAGCGACATCAATTAGAAGCAATATCATTTTTAAACCACAGTTTGATAGCAGAAATTTTATTTTCAAGAAAATGTTGGAGGCATATGTTTATATATATTATATTAATTTCATGTTTGTGAATTTCAAAACCGATTTTAGCTACAATTTACATTGGAAAAAAAATGCAGTTGTCCAACTTGTGTCTATTGTGTGTCATGAAAGAAAAATCTTACAGCTTTGTTCAAGAATATAATTATTAGTTTTCTCCTGTGTCCCAAAACTGTTTTAGTACTTTGATTACTGTAGCATTTATTTGTAAATCAGGGTCCTGTGTAAAACTTCTGATTTAGATTACACATTTTGCATTCCTGATGCTCGTTACACTTGTGAGAAAATTATGAACAAAATTGTGACAGCGACTTTCTCTTTGTAAAAAGAAAATCATTTTCTTGTATTTTACTGTATATTGTGCTTTTACACATTCAAACTGGAAGACTGCAATGTTAAAAAAATCTTATATGATAAGTATAACAATAGTAATTGTCAAATTGATTATGAAAAATATTTTTTTTAAAGGGATATTACTTTTGCTGTATCCACATTAAGGACATTCAGATACTGTTGTACCATGATAGTTATGAAAGAGCGTTTCATTTCATTTGTTAAAATAGGGCAGTAATACACAATAAATGTATAATTATAATGTAAAAAGAAATGCTTACCTTATTATTTCACATGACATTATTTGTTTATGGGATTTAATGATACAGTGCATCATCTCATGAAATTGACATCAGAAATCAAATGGAAGTCTAAATTTCTGCTATTTTTAAATGGCAATTTCATTTCTTTATCAGTAAAGCAGTTTTAAATTTATAAGCTTGAACAACCATCAACTCGTATCAGTACTTTCAGTACTTTGATTACAATACTGTCTTACTATAGTATTACCTATAATTTTGACTTTAGGTTGAATTCGCCAATTTCAAACTTGCAAAGTTGTGTGCATCACGATGTCGGTCACCGCTCCGGCTACTTTCGTTATTTCTAACCAATGAAAATTGTCCTTACTTTCTTATACAACAGTTGTGTCATATTACCCATAATGCAATATAATTGCACGCATCGCTAAATTGTAGAACACACATCACAAGATTTCGAATATACATTACAAGATTATCGAACATACGTCACAAGACTTCGAATATACATCACAAGATTTCGAACACACATCACAAGATTATAGAATATACATCACAAGATTTCGAATATACATCACTAGATTTCGAACATACATCACAAGATTTTAGAATATACATCACAAGATTTCGAACATACATCACAAGATTATAGAATATACATCACAAGTTTTTGAATATACATCACATGATATTGAACATACATCACAAAATTTTGAATATACATCACAAGAATTTGAACATACATCACAAAATTTCGAACATACATCACAAAATTTTGAATATACATCTCAAGATTATCGAATATAGCAACGTTTGACATGTCATAAATATAAAGTGAAAGAAAATATCATAAGGTTTTCTTAATTTACACAATGAAAAATTACAGGCATTAATATTGATACTTCCAAACAATAATTGAAACACTCATCTAAAAGTAATGGATAAATAATCAAATCCACTCATACATATATTTTATTAAGTCTTTCGTCTCAAGAATACTTTATCAGAAGAAAAACAGTCAGTCACTCCGCTAAAACGCAGAAAAGAAATAGATAAATCGTCAGACAGCATTTTACTCAATGATAAATTGTATTTGCTGACAGGGTCATTGTATCGACCATAGAACTTACGAAATGACGACTTTAAACGAGACTGCTGAAAGTTTTGTTTTATCAACTTGTTTGTCAATAATTTACCTCGTTTTAGAAATTGTTCATAAATAGAGCTTGCTGTAGCGTTTCGAATCAACTGAGATATGTAAACTCCTTATGCAGGAAATGAAGGTATATTGCTGCATAGGTAAGGAAAGTAAACGATAGAAAATTTAAAGTCATCACGTTTATCATAGACTTGGTTGCTAGATTACCATTAGTATCTTTTTCAAGTAAAATAATCAAGTAGGAAACAGATGTGTCAGACTATGTGGTATCTTTTTCTGAAGCTCACCAGGATATATCGTATCGACATAGGAATTGAAATTACCATTATTTATTGACAATACGTCGTCGATATATCTAAATGTCGAATTGAAGGCCTTAGCAAGTGATTTCTTCTTTTCATGCATAAGATTTTGCAGAAATTCTGCTTCATATGAATACAAAAATACGTCTGCTAGTAACGGAGCGCAATTGGTACCCATTGTAATTCCAATAGATTGTTGAAAGACCTGGTCGCCAAAATCCACATGGATATTGTCAATCAGAAACTCAAACATCTTTTTGATTTTACCTTCAGAGTATTTGCGTGTGTAATCAGAATGTGTTTTAACAAAATAATTTTGTAAATGACGATTGCATATGAGAGGCAAATGGTCTTTGGAATTTCTGAGTATCCACATCTGATTCACACCACTACTTGAATAAAATGTTGCATAGTACTCTTGAAGTTTATCCTTCACAACCGTCAATATCTTAGTGAGGAATAAAAAAATGCGGCTTGGTTGAACATTTACAGGAAACCGCAATGTATCTTTGTTTGTACCGTTCGCGGTAGCTCAGTCGGTAGAGCGCTCGCTCCGTGATCGGGAGGTCGTGAGTTCGTATCTCGGCCGCGACTGACCTAGTCGTTAAAATGGGTAGCAAGTGTTCCTTCGCCATGCGCTCGGCACTTTGAAGTGAAAGTTGCGGGTCCTTCGGATGAGACCTTAAAAACCGAGGCCCCGTGTCAGCGGCAGGCGTTGGCACGATAAAGATCCCTCACTGCTCAATTGCCCTGAGTTCCGAGTAAAGGTCAAAATTTGAAGCCCTTCACCGGCATACGGTGACGTCTCCACGTGAGTGAAAAATTCTCTAGAGGGACGTTAAAGAATATACAATCAATCAATCAGTCAATCAACATCTTTGTTTGTACGGATTCTTTTGAAGTTTCGGAATCCAATATGTACGTGGCAGTTCAAATTCATTTTTGTTCTTCGGGATATTAAAGATATTCAAAAATGACATATGATTTTAAAGAATTGTTTTCCTTAGAAAGGGAACTATGAATAAAATTTGGACTACCACTTGTAGAATTAAATCCAACACAACACAATTTATATAATGAGCCTTACAAACAAATACAATGTTGCTACCTGCTTTGTCAGCAGGGACTAACATGTACTGACCATGTAATCTATCTAGTTCTTTTTTTCACTTCTGGATTATTGAATACAGAAGGATAGATGGTTTTCATATTGCCCCTCAATCTTTTAATTCGCGATTTCAACATGGATCTGATACATTTTATCCATTCTGGCAACGTATCAAAGTCTTCTTTTTTCATATCTGGCCCATAGTCTGGCGTTATTTTCAACAGAATCCATAATATTTATGAAATTCTTATGAACTGGTCCCAAAATATATTTTTATACAAAAAATAAAACTTGAATTTATTATCTTCCACCAGAATTAGTTTTAATTTTTTCTTATCATTATAAGACATGGCCAATTTCCGTACTATCGGGATACTCTAAAAGCATTATCTTAAGTATTGAGGCTTTTTAGAAATCTTAATTTTGCGAAGTATTATTTTTCCGTTTTTAATGACATCTCAATTTAAATATGATATAGTTAGTTTCTTTAGCTGTGTATTACTCAGTTTCATTTGAAAATGTTGGAGTAAATAACCGGAATGGAATCCTCGGATTTTGCATAAAATAAATTAATTCTGAAAGGAATGTATGCACATTTCGTTCTTTATTTTTTTTTTTTTACATTATAAAGATTGAAATTAGCGTCATTGTTGACTAGCATGTTCAATGAGTAATACACTGATACGTGTACCCAATGCTAAGACGATTGAAACCTCGGCTGGTGATACCATTATATACACATTAATCGGCCAATTATAGACAGGCAAAACAAAAAAGAAATAAATAACAATTCCCGGTGTTTTCAACTGTTTATTTTTAAAATAAATGTTCTCTTTTATTAAAATTTATGAATGAATTCCTCAATAATTCTTCACATTACTTATAAAACGGAAAAAAATGGTACCATAATTTCATTTCATTTTCATTTAAGAAATTGTTGGATTTTATTTGAGGGTTGCATATAATTTCTTTTTTTAAACGTGGTATTTGTAAAACATGTAGCTTTTTCAATTAAAAAAATAATATCCACATCTAACTGCAATGTTTTTCTTAAATAGTGCCAATGCAAATTTTGAGTACATAATTTTAAATTAAATAATAAAATAGGCCTACATAATTATCCTATTTTTCTCTCATAAACCTGCAGTTTATTTTTAAGGATAAAAATCGTCTCTTGACCTCCTTATCTTACAACTTTATTTTTTTTATCTATTCTAAACTACATTTGGGTAAATATACAGTCTCTGAAAATATTTATTAACTATAATAATTTCTACTTATTAATAGATTTTTATCTGTTAAAAACACCTCTCCGCTGCAAGTAAACAAAACAACAGGAAGCCTGCATATTCAGAATACACGTGGGCGGAGCTATCATGTCTCTCAGAACCTTTTTCACGCATGAGTGAACAAAGTAGTCTCAGAAAGCAGTCCAAGGGATAGCTGGGACTGCCGAGTCTGCTTTCTAGAGCAGTCACAGAGCAATCCCGTAGCGGTCCCAGAGCGAGATATGTCTAAGACGCGATGTAGATACGATATCGACACATTACTTTTTTTTCATAGTTTTCTATAAAATTTCTCTATTCTCGGCAGTTTATTACAATGCTTCCAACTGTAAGACTATTTCCTTACCGTCAATATCCTCGATATTGGGCTGATATCGAATCATGGTTGTTTCAAGAATTGTGGTTTCAGTCCTTAATATTGTGTTTTTAACTACTGTTTCTTAAAACGTTCTTTATTAAACTTTCCCTGCAGTGTCGATATCGTCGATATCAACGATATCGCTTCGATATCGAATCATGTTTGCTCAGCCCTTGGTAAATACTTTTCCTTTTACTTTGAATGTGTTTATGTTTAATTACTTTTCTTGTGCGAAGATTTTACCTGCCATCGATATCGTCAATTGACGATTTCGTATTGATATCGAATCATGATTGTTAAAAGCATATTGCTTTACCAA